GAAATAAAAGACTGTGAATATTACAATGAAGAACAGTTTAATGACATCAATATAACAAATGGAGGTCTCTCTATTATTCACTTTAACAGTAGAAGTTTAAATGCAAATATATCCAAAATAACAGATTATTTAAAACAGCTAAACAGAACCTTTACAATAATAGCACTGTCGGAGACGTGGCTCAACGATGAAAACACAACTAATGTTCACATGGAAGGGTATGAATTATATCATGTGAACAGAAGCAACAAAAGAGGTGGTGGAGTGGCTCTATTTGTTAAAAATGAAATAAAATGTAAATTAATTAATGAAATGTCAATAATTGTTGATAATATCATGGAAATAATAACAATAGAAATAATAAACAAGAATGATAAAAACATATTGATAAGTTGTGTATATCGATCTCCAGGATCAAATATAGAAATATTCACTGATAAAATCGTACAACTATTGGACAAGAGTTTTAATAAAAGCATTTTTTTTGTGTGGAGACTTTAATATTGACCTGGGAAATAAAACAGATTCAAATAACATCAGTACATTTACAAATTCATTGTGTAGTTTTAATCTTTATCCGTTAATATCAAAACCAACAAGAATTACAACTACACAAATGTAATAAATGGGGATGTGATGGGAGGTATTTTAACGAGTGATTTGAGTGATCATTTACCAGTTTTCATGATTTATAAATATGATCAAAGCATTACAAAAAAAATTACAATTAAGGAAAAAACAACAAACACTTCAAAAAAAGCAATGGACAAATTAAAAGATGATTTACATAAACAAAGCTGGAAAGACGTGTATGTTGATGATGTGAACAGATCATATGATGAGTTTATGAATATTTTAGGAGCTCTGTATGAAAAAAATTGTGTGCAAAATAATTGTACAAAGAGAAATGTTGTTGACCAACCATGGATGACGAAAGGGTTGAGAAATGCTTGTAAAAAAAAAAGAATTATTTGTATACATGTTTCTTGAAATTGAGAACACAAGAGGCCGAAAAGAAATATAAGAAGTATAAAAATAAATTAGTAGCGATTATAAGGAAACACAAGAAGGAATATTATAGTGATTTATTAAATAAAAGCAATGGTGATATGAAAGCTACATGGCGAGTAATAAATAGTGTTCTGAAAAGTCATAAAGCAAAAACAGGTATTTCACAATATTTTTTGAAGGATGACGATGAAATCCATGATGAAAATGAAATTGTAAATGGATTTAATCATCACTTTGTGAACGTTGGATCAAGCCTTGCTGCTAAAATACCAAAAGTAGACAAAAATGTGAACCATTCAGTTATAAGTTGTGACAACAGTGTTTTTCTTAATGGAACTGACAAAGAAGAAATAATGAATGTTGTAAAAAATCTTACAGATAAGAGATCAAAAGACTGGGTGGACATGGATATGATGTTTGTAAAGGACATAATGAGTTATGTTATCGAGCCGTTTACATATATTTGTAATTTATCATTTTCAAAAGGAATATTTCCAGACAGTATGAAAGTAGCTAAGGTAGTTCCTCTCTTTAAGAATGGTGATAAATGTGTGTTCAATAATTATAGACCAATATCCTTATTACCACAGTTCTCAAAAATTCTAGAAAAACTATTTGTGACCAGATTAGATAAATTTATTACTAAACAAAACATTCTAAGTAGCAGTCAGTATGGGTTTAGAGCAAAAAGCTCTACATCAATGGCTCTCATGGAAATAATAGAACAAATAACTACTGCTGTCGATCAAAAACAGTATTGTGTTAGTATTTTTGTTGATTTAAAAAAGCATTTGATACTATTGACCACAATATTCTCCTTGAAAAATTAAATAAATATGGTATAAGAGGACCAGCATTACACTGGGTATCTAGCTATTTAAAAGATAGGAAACAGTTTGTACAAATAAATGGTGTAAGATCTGACCTGTGCAATATCACTTGTGGAGTTCCTCAAGGCTCTGTACTTGGACCAAAGTTATTTATTTTATATGTGAATGACTTAGTGAATGTATTAGGACTCCTCAAATGTGTCCTTTTTGCAGATGACACCACATTTTTTTGTTTGGGTAAAGATGTAAAACGGATGTTGGAATTGATGAAGACAGAATTTGATAAAATACAAACTTGGTTTAAAATGAATAAATTATCATTAAATTTAGATAAAACTAAATACATGATATTTAGTAACAAAAAGAGAACTGTTGACGATCCATTTAAAATTGAGGGTGTTGAGATTTGTATAGTTAATGAGATGAAATTTTTGGGTGTAATCATTGATGAACAGCTAACATGGAAAAATCACATAAATTCTGTAAGAACAAAAATATCTAAATCTATTGCAGTACTATACAAAGTCAGGGAATTATTAAATGATAAAGCTCTGTACATGTTGTATAACACAATCATTGTTCCACATTTAATCTATTGCATTGATGTTTGGGGGAAAAGCGTGTAAAACATTTACAAAACCTATTTTTATTTTACAGAAAAGAGCTGTAAGAATCATCACCAGAAAGCATTACTGTCACCCATCAAGCACATTATTTTATCAACTGAAGTTATTGAAGTTCCATGATTTAGTAGATTACAGTATTTTATCAGTTATGTATAGGGCTCAAAATAACACATTACTATTAAATATCCAAAGAAATTTTATTAAAAGACAAAGTTGTTACAATCTTAAGGGGATAGAAATATTTGTCAAACCAAAATTCAGAACTAGTCTGAAGGGAAGGTCTACCTCAATCCAAGGAGTTGGATTGTGGAATGGTCTAGAGAGTGATGTGAAAAATGCCAAGTCAATGTGTACATTTAAGAAAAAGATCAAAACTGAATTGTTAAAAAAATATATATGAAGTAGCTTAGTGTGTGTTTTGTATTAGAATTAGAAAAATTAGAAAGAGTTATTCATTTTGTTCTGTTACTTGAAGATTATTATGTCTGAAATAATTGTTTGAAAAAAGGGGCAGATATAATAAGATTTTTTCTTCTTTCTGCTGCCTTTCATTTTAAATCTTTTGTATCCTTTTTTTATATTGTTATGGAATTGTTTTGTACTTTTTTAAAATGAATAAACTATATACCATATACCATACCATAGTCCTAGCTCGTTTCAGGTCAACAGGGGACAACAGCGTGATCCGGAATAACATGAATTATTATCCAGGTGAGTTTGGATGGAGGCCTGCAGCAACTCCGATGCAAACTCCGAACTTTTCTCGAGCACCACACAGCGCTGCTCCTCCGCTTCTCTGCACATCACCTCCGCACCCGACAGCACGAGAGGCACCCCCAGTGAAAACTACAAGACTGACCGGAGAGGCTGAGGCTGAAGTTGTCACTGGTCCGGTCCGGTTCTGCTCCAGTCCATCTCCGGTGCTCCACATCACGAGAGACAAAGAGGCTGAAGTTGTCCCTGGCCCGGTTCTGCTCCGGTCCGGTTCCGGCGGAGCTTCAAAGTATCAGAGCGTCTCCTCCAGGCAAACACAGCGATTCCACGGAGGTGGACAGTCTTTTGTTAAAAGTAATGGGCTGCTCACTGAGGTTGAGACCGGCTCTGTTAAAGACGAAGTCCCCCACAGCCAACTTGGTCCAGTTCTGGTCCTGTTCGGGGGACACAGGTAAACTTCCCCCACACCAATGAAGACACCACGAGGCCAGTCCATCAGAAAACCAGCGAAATGCCACCCGGCGAGTCTCGTCGGAACCAGGTAGAACCACAAAGGTCCAGATGAGAAGTTCGTTTGGGTCCAGAGAAAGAGAGAAAAAACACCGGACCTTCGTGCGACGACTCCCCAGCTCGAGGGGTCACCTGGCCAGCAGGGTGCACTCAGAGTGACCGGTGGGGTGGGAGTGGCCGTCCTGGACCAAAATATATTTTTTGGACGGTCCCATCTGGCTCTCTGAGTCACTGAACACCAAATTCAGTTGGAAGGGGGACCAACTTTAGTCCGGTTCGAAAAACGGGTCAGTTTGATGATAAGACTGCAGAGAAGCCGAAGGGAGCTGCCATCAATCAACTTGCCGGAAGTGAAGTGACTTTGGAGAGACCTTTTATCCGATCGCATGATGGATGCACGTGGAACCATAATTTTAACACGAATACTTTATTTGCAGCATTTTTTGTTTTTATTTATTTCATCTATTTACTTTTCATTTTAAATGCTTTTTATATGATCGTCTAATATTGTTTGTGCTTCTTCTGTCCTTTGTTCAAAACAGGTCTCTCTTGTAAATGAGTCCTCGAGACTCTATGAGACTAGCCTGTAGAAATAAAGGTTGAATGAATGAATGAATAAAAACACTGTTGTTTTTCAACAATCAATACTACTGTTTTTATTTGTATGTATTCATTGATACAAATAAAAACTGCAAATCAGTTTATAAAGTTTATTAAAAAAGCAGCTTATCAAAACACCCTCCTTTGTTTTTCTGCTCCACCCCTGTCTTTTTTTCTCCTTTCTTTTTAGCATGTTTGCTACCCACTCTCCTTTTTTTCTTTTTCAAATTGGGAGAGGTTGCTCACATTTGACATTTGACTGATGTTGCAGCCACGAGTGCTGCTGCGTGAGGACACAGCATTTTAAAAAGAAAAAAGTTCCGATCACCACAGGCCGGTTCGGCCTGGAACTGACCAGACATTCAGGAATCCTCTCAAACCTCCCTATTTCCAGCCCACCCCTGCCTGGGTGTATCTCAGATGTGATGGGTTAAATGCAGAGAACTAATTTTGTCATTGTATAAGAAACATACAATGATGACAACACGTTGCACTGTTTTAGAAAGTTGCCCCAAAGTAGCTCCACACTGAAAATAATTTTAACCTTTGTGCTCAAAAATTGCTGTATATGTTAAATTAAATCGTCACAGCACATAAGATAAAACAACTTTCTGTGAAATTGATGTTTTCACACACACACACACACACACACAAAAAACATCATTTTGAAGCTAAAAGTCACCTTCTTTATGTTTTCTCTCTTTCACAGTTTTGAAGGCTAAAATCAAGGAGGTGACGACAGAACACACGGACCGCAAGGTGATTCTGCAGAAGAGGAAGAAGATGATTAAACAAGGAACCCTGAGGAAAGAGGACTTAGCAAAGCTTGTATTACACTTGAGGAATGGTGCAGATTGCCCCTGCCAGCAGCTTGATAATTTGAGAAACCAGTACCTGATCATGGGCCGCAAGGTAGACAACCAGTTCCTCCTCACTGGCATCCATAAGTGGGACAAGTCCAGCACAGTGTTCAAAAAGACCATCAAAAAACTAAAGACCTACAAATGTCCTGGACATGAAAAAGTTTTCAAATAGGTCAACCTAGAACCCTACATTTAGTTGAATTTGTCATATGAACTTGCACAAGTAAAGCCAAAACTTGGTTTCCTTTTGTTGTTGTATAGCAATATATCTTTGTATATTTACTGATATACTTTGGAATGTCTGGAGTTCAGCTTTGGATAAATGTAGTTAGTAATGACACAACTCAATAAAAGCTCTTCAGAGCTAAACTAATTTCTACTGTAATGCATGTAGTGTTGGTTTCTCCCATAGTACAAATGAGATGATTGGTTACGCACTATACCAAAATACTACTTTTCTTCTGTAGAGTTTAGTACATTTTCAGGCATGTAAACACGATTATAAAGAGGCTGTAACTTGTTGGTGTACTAGTAGATTTATTCATGAGAAAAGACAAGCTTTCCTTGGTTCACAAGTGATTTTTTTTTTAATCTAACAAAGTTAAGTCAGGTCCTCTGGACAGATTAAAAACAAAACAAAATCAAACAAACAAACAAAATTTGTTAAACGTTTCTTTTATCCTAAAGACTTCCTCAGTCGGAGGAGCTGCAACAAAATCAGTCTTATAAAAAGCACCTTCTCTTAGTGGATCAACCAGTTTGATGGTGACGGACAAAATTAGCTATTCATGATAAAGGAGGACAATCACCCTAACAACTGACCATTAGTGCCCTGATGGCTGCTTGCTATTCAGAGTGATACTGAGTGATAGTGATTGCTAGTATCACTCAACCCTCTGTGAATAGCAAGCAGCCATCAGGGCACCAACGATCAGTTGTTAGGCTGATTGTCCTCCTTTATCGTGAATAGCTAATTTTGTCCGTCACCATCAAACTGGTTGATCCACTATGAGAAGGTGCTATTTATAAGACTGATTTTGTTGCAGCTCCTCCGACTGAGGAAGTCTTTAGGATAAAAGAAACGTTTAACAAATTTTGTTTGTTTGTGTGTTTTTTGTTGAATTTGTCCAGAGGACGTCACTTAACTTTGTTAGATTTTTCTACCTGGACTATTGAGCATGCATCAGGAATTTTTATTTTTTAACTTTTTGTATGTAACAGAATTTTTTTCTTATTATTTTTAAAGTCTTCTCCTTTGAAATGTTAACTCAGATTAACAGTAACTTTTGGGAAAACAAGTTTGGCGACAGTATCCTTTGAGACAAGAAGCAGAAATTCTAATAAAAATGTATGCATGCTGTGCCACCAAGTGTCAAAATATTCAATATTAGTGACACATCACAACACAAAGAAGGAACATGGCTGAAGTTTCTACCAAAACAAGTTGATCATTTTTAATTATTCAAATTGAAAATTTAAAGATCCTAGCAAACCAGATGAAGTAAAAAACAGCAGCTTTTCTATTGCTATCCTTTTTCTTTTTACATATGTGCAATACATAAGCAATAATAGACATGATTATTAACCTAAATTATTATTTCGCAAAAGTATTAAATCTACAAACTGACTGTTCCAAAGTCTTGTATGTAGATAAAAGGTGCAAGCACAGCAGTTAAAGAAAATGGTATGGTATAAAGTTTATTCATTTTAAAAAACAAAACAATTCCATAAACTTTAAAAAATACAAGAAATTTAAAATGAAAGGCAGCAGAAAGAAGAAAAAATCTTATTATATCTGACCCTTTTTTCAAACAATTTGTTCAATGATAATAATCTTCAAGTAACAGAACAAAACAAATAACTCTTTCTAATTTTCTAACTAATGCAATACACACTAAGCTTCTTTTTTTTTTTAACAATAAATCATCCATGTTATTGTAAAAAAAATCGTAAATTTTACTACAAAAGGTTGAAGTTTTAAGGAGAAATGGATGATATAAAAGGCAGCCAACCTAAGACAATTGGCCCTGTCCACATGGGACCAGTTTTTGTGGAGACATAAATTGTTTTTTTATTGTTTCAGCCAGAAATTGTTTTAGGATCCCCTAAAAGTTTTTTTTTTTTTTTTAACTGTGTTCCAGAATTACAAAAAATCTTAAGTCATCATTGTGTTTTCATGTGTACAGCCTAAATAAAACAATTTTAAAACTATGATGTCACAGTCTTTCCTCTAACTTATGTCCTTAAGCATGGACTCATCAACAATAATGAGAAATGGCTGTTTTTGTTCCAGGTGCTAGTTTCCTAACTAAAGTAAAGCCTGTACTAATGAATATATTGTACTAATGAATTAACAAGCAGTATGCCAATGAATTTACATAAACGTATATATACACACACACATATATATAAATATATACACATACACTGCTCAAAAAAATTAAAGGGAACACTAAAATAACACATCCAAGACCTCAATTAATTAAATATTCTCATTGACAAACTTTATTATTAGCACAGTGGAATTGACTGAGAAGAAAATAACAAAAATTATCAATGTAAATCAAAATTATAACACCATGGAGATCTGGATTTGGATTTATACTCAATATGAAAGTGGAAAATAACATGACAGGCTGATTCAACGTCAGTGAATATTCCTCAAGGCAAGTCTAAATGAGGCTCAGTACTGTGTGTGGCCTCCACGTGCCTGTAGAACCTCCCAACAACACCTGGACATGCTCCTGAAGAGAAGGTGGATGTTCTCCTGAGGGATCTCTTCTCAGACCTGGATTAGAGCATCAGTTAGCTCCTGAACAGTCTGTGGTGTGATGTGGCCTTGGTAGACTGACAGAAACATGAGTCCCAGATGTGCTCAATTGGATTCAGGTCTGGGGAACGGGCAGGACAGTCCATAACATCAATGTCCTCATCAAGCAGGAACTGCTGACACACTTCAACCACATGAGGCCTAGCATTGTTATGCATAAGAAGGAATCCAGGGCCCACTGCACCAGCATATGGTCTCATAGTGGGTCTGAGGATCTCATCCCGGTACCATATGGCAGTCAGGGCACCTCTGGCTAGCACATGGAGGGCAGTACAGCCATCCAAAGAAATGCCTCCCCACACCATGACTGACCCTCCACCAAACCGGTCATGCTGGAGGATGTTGCAGGCAGCATAACGTTCTCCGCGGTGTCTCCAGACTCTGTCATGTCTGTCACGTGATCAGTGTGAACCTGCTTTCATCCGTGAAGAGCGCACAGCGCTAATGGCGAATCTGTCAATTTTGGTGTTCCCTAGCAAACGTCATCGTTCTGCATGGTGTTGGGCTGTAAGCACAGGCCCTATATGTGGATGTCGGGCCCTCATGCCACCCTCATGGAGTCTGTTTCTGACAATTTGAGTGGAAACATGCACATTAGTGGCCTGCCGGAGGTCATTTTGTAGGGCCCTGGCAGTGGACCTCCTGTTCCTTCTTGCACAAATGACAAGGTAGTGGTCCTGCTGCTGGGTTGTAACCCTCCTATGGCCCCCTCCATGTCTCCTGGTGTACTGGTCTGTCTCCTGGTACCTATTCCATGCTTTGGACACTGTGCTGAGACACAGCAAATCTTCTTGCACCACTTGCATTGATTACGTGATCAACTTCAGTGGGCTGTAAAAAACACCTTATGATGCCTCTATGCGTGACAGCACTGACAAAATGAAAAAGTAACTAAAAGTTTAACCAGAAAGGACGAGAACAGAGAAATGACCTGTGGTCACCACCTGCAGAATCACTCTTTTATAGGGGTTGTCTATTGCCTCTCATTCCACCTGTTGTGCGTTCCATTTGCACAGCAGCAGCTGAAACTGATTCACAATAAGTGTTACTACCTAACTGGTGACATTGATTCCACAAAGGTGTGACTGTTGCCGGGGAGTATATGTAT